TATTAAATGTTGACATAAAATTATTGACAACGAAAAACCTTGTGACATATTGATAGTAAAAAACCTTGTGTGAAATATTGACGGCAAAGGATCTTGATCCTCGTTTGCTATTTTTTTTATAGCAAGGGCATTTATGTCATTTATACATTAGAAATTAATGCTAGCAAAGGACCCATTTTTAGAATTTGTCCCAACTCCTTATAAAATAAATTTATGGTGAGGTTTTTTTGAGCAATTTTTCCTATAAAAATTAAGGGTTAAATGACAAATAACCCTAAATTATAAATCTAGAAACATCTAGGACTCTAAATTTATTTTTTATATAATTTTTTCTTTTAACATTTCAAAACAATATAATATGGACAATATTGTTAGAAAATATTAACTTTAACTGTCAATTGACTAAAAAGATTACATGAAAGAACTTAAAAAAAACTTAAGTTATATCAAGCTTCTTAAAGAAACTAGAATGTAGTTGAGTACATCCTATGTCATCAAAATTTCAAGAGAGAAGTTTGAGCAACTAAAAATAATTCATAAGCCATTTTTCACAAGTTAAAAAGAATATTGGTTTTGAAAAAAAAAAATTCCAGGTTCAAAGTGTTTATGACTTTTTTTTTGAATTTTTATAAGAAAAATGTGGAATGTAATAAAATTGACTTAACTAAGCAAATAAGTGAGTTTTTCAAAATTTGAATTCACTTTCACCATCATAAAATCCTAAATTCAATTCATTCAGTTTTTGTAACTGATTTGACATTAAGTAAGATGCCTAATTATCATTAGGAATAAATGACTATGACTTAGACCAAGACACAATCCCTCTAAAAATTATGCCAAACAATGATTTGACTTTAGAATTAGAATTTGCCTTGCCTTGGTCATATTCTAACACTTAAAACTAATCAAGAATTATGCAATTAACTTCAATCTAAAACATAAATAGAAGTTAAATGATTCAAACATCATCATGAGGATTGGACATAATAGCATTTACACAACAATAGCCATTGAAGTATAAATTTAAACATATAGTGTGTAACATGTAATTTAATTAAGAGTCAAATCAAAGCATTAAGTCTCTTATAAAAATGAAATTAATTAGAAAATGCAATCTAACTAAAATTGAATCATCAAGTCTCAGACGCGAAATATTGCAGAACCGAAATGAACTAAACTAAGAAAACTCAAGTCCTAGTCTCATCTCCCTTGAGGAACTCTAAGGAAGTTCAGCTACTCATTCTGATTTTCACAATGACTGATTGAAGGAAGATGGCCGTGAAAGCTGTCATGGACGAAGGTTGGAAGAAGCTATGAATGATTGAGATGTGCCATGAACGTGTGACCGACTCTGTGTGACTGAGAAGAAGAAGATGACTGACGGTGTATGATGACTGAAACTGAGAACTCGAGAGGAGATGAGCGTTGCTGTGCGTGCGATGGCGTGTGAGCAGCTGAATGAAGATGAAGATGTGTGATGACCGAACTCGGACCAGAGGAAGTGATGAAGATGAGCGATCTGTGAGTTCAGTGGCCAGCGAGAGCTTCTCTCCTCCGTTAATGGCTGAACTCTCGAAGACGTACGATGATGTGTGTTCGGTGGAGATGAGCAATCTGTGCGTGGTGTGGGACGAGCTGGACTCTGAACCTGAAGATGAGAGGAGATGAGTGAGCGTGTGATGAACTTTGGCGTGAACGTTTGGAACTGAGAAGATGATCCCGTGTGTGCGTTCAGTCCAAGAAATGCGAACACAATCCCATGCAGGTGCTCCTCTCTCTGCGTTTTCTCCTTTTTCTGAAAAGTCAAAAAAAAAAAAAACTGATCTAAAATAAAAAAAATTACTAAATTAGCTTCTAAATGCTTAAAAATGCAAAATTAAAAAAATTAAACCAACTTAATAAAATTGAATCAAACAAAGTCCTAAAAACAAGAATAAAAATTATCCAAGTAATAAAATGTGTCAAGGAATTAAAATTCTAAATTAAAAATAATTAATTCTAATAAAATGTGCAAAATGATCAAAATACTTCTAATGCCAAAACTCAATGTAAATGAGCCAATAATAAAATTCAATATTAAAATCATATATATAAAGGTCTAAATTAATAAAATATAGTTACAAATGTAAAAAAAAAGTATGCAAAATATGCTATTCATCAAATTTCAAAAATTACAAAAAATTACGGAGAAAATTTTCTTGGTCCTTTTCAGTAATTATTTGGATATTTGTCTATAATTTTTGGGTTTGATCTTTTTAAAAATTTTTGTCCTTTCATATAATTTGAGGTCTTTTTTGTCATTTTTATAATTAACTAATGATAAAATTAACTTTTGTTAATAATAGAGGCGACGATACATTGTTTTCAAAAGTTTGAGGGGGATATTGCACAAAAAATGAGCTTAAAATTCTAGATGCTCTTGGACTTATAATTTAAGGGTCAATTTTTTGTTTAACAAAAAAAAAATGCTTGAATATATTTATATAGAAAACAATTATTTTGATTTGGAGATGAATCTTACTTATTCGAGGAAGCAAAGCAATAAGAAATTTCTAATAGAACCAGAGGGTAGAGGCTTCTTATTTAAAGGATAAAGTTTATGATTTAAAGAAAGGAAAAACACAACTTTAGTCCTTATAGCTTTAATTTGTTTGGATGTAGGTCCTAGTATTTTTTTTTTATTGTTGAGTCCTTCTAATTTATCCTGTATGGAATATTAATCCATTTTTACTTTTAAATATGCTTAGAAGGATGATAAGATAGTACCAACAGTGTTTAATTTTTTGCCATGTAGTCACTATTGTCATTAATGTAGAAAGGAAAAAAAAAACATTTAGATCTTAAGTGACAAAGGCCACATGTGCAGTGATTCCACTAAGCAGAAGGTTGATAGGGCATTGGTCAAGGAAAATTGCCCGCTTGATTGCCATTGGTCAAGGAAAATTTATACCAAAATATGTTAAAATTATAATGATCAAATGTTGTGTTATCTTTTTAAACATGACATTGCACATTTTTTTTCACTCTTTTAACGAGAAGTCTATTTCTTGATGTAGTTGAGTAGTTCTACTCTATATATATTCATCGGATATTTTTACTACTCTTTTTTTCCCGTAAATATTGTTATTATTTAAACTTTATTCTCTATCATTTTATTGTATATATTTGACTTTTTATTAAAAAAAAGATTTCGTTAAACCCAGAAAAATACTACATCTAACTATAAAATTATATTGCAATATTTTTTTCCTGCAACGACAATCAACAAGTGAAACTTTAGTTCTTAACGTGTCTGCATTGCGTTTTTTTCCATGACGCATCAGCTATAGAAGCATTAATTCTTGTTTTACAATAAAATAGATCCAAGTCATTATTTCTCAGCTATAGAAGCATGTGTGCTTAAACATGCACACGCAGAGTCAGAGGCTCACTCTTCATTGATAAAAGCTTGGTCTGTTCTATGTATACATATATATATGAATTATATGCACCCTCTTGTTCACCTGACACAAATTTCTCAAATCATAACCTTCTGATTTCCCTTGACATACTAGTTGCTTCTCTGCATTGACCGTAACTGAACCAATGTTTTTCTTCAGATTTATTTTTCAAACTGATTCACGTTCCGGAAGACAACAGTGACATGTGTCATATATATATATATATATATGCATGCATGTATGTATGTATGTATGTATGTATGTATAATACTGTCCTTGAATATCTCAAATTATCATCACCATTGGATGTTTCCTTCTAGAAACTAACTATAAATTAATTAAGGTTACATGTGCAAAGTACACAGAAGCCTGGTCACGGTTGAAGACAAGAGTATAACTTTTCTTCAGCTGGAAAGCAGATGCTGAAGGTTATCAGAATTCAGAGGTTGTGTAACCATTCAGTTTAGTAATAATGCAAACAATATAGCATGAGGCTTTTAAAATCTTTTATATTAAGTATGCTTGAGGATAATATCTTTGACCAAAATAATTTAAACCAGTTGGTTAGACATGTCCTAAGCTTTATATATTCCCTTTAGATGTGAGATTTTTTTTATTTCTAGTAGAGGCAAAGAAATAACATCAAGTCATGCGTAATTAATTATTTCTATCATGAAGAGAGACCTCAACTCAAATGCATGAGAATACAGAATATGCACTGATATATTGCTTCCATTATATTCTTGGAGCAGTTGGAAGGGTGGATAACATCCCAGATATCTTTTAGAGAAGTTTCAAATGTGGAAGACAGATCATATATAAATGGAACAGCCTCTCATCAGATCATTGCTCAAGTCAGTCAATATAATCCAATACTGACTTGGAATGTTTGCTACCTCCTCTAATGCCCAAAATCTCATCCTCTTCGCCATTAGAGAAGATAGCAGAGTGCAGCAAACATACCAAATCCATATAAATACCGAACAATCATTATTTTAGATAAATTACATTAGTTTTATGAGAAAAAGTCTAAAGAAAGAGCCTATGATAAAAAACCAGCCTATAGATGCATCTTACTTTTATTGTGAGGCTCTCTTGACGATGGCGATTCATAACTTACATATATCTTCGTCAAAGTTAGAACGAGCTTTTCGTAGATCAGTCTCCATGATGAGATGAGTAGTGAGCAAAACTTTAACAGAACCTTCAGGAAAAGCAACCAATAGCCATCATCATCCCCTGGAATCGACGACCACCACCACATGGTTCAAAAGCTGCTACTTAATTCCATGGCTGATGTTGTTGAGATGGACAAACTAAAGTTTCGAATGTGGAAGACAGGTTGAAGTTCAACAGCCTTGAATCAGTTGGTTGCTCAAATGAATACAAACAATGGTGTTGGACGGGGAAGAAACCTCTTTGTTGAGGATGAGCAAACAAGCAGGGGAGCATTTGGCGGAGTGCTGTTTGGAATAGAATAAAAGTCCCACATTGGGAGAGATGAAGGAGAGAAGAGAAGGCGGGGATGTATAAAATGGAAGGAAAGGGGACGAAGATAACATACTTACCTGGACAGGGTCAATGGGTGATCAAAGAGGCCCATGGCCTAGGTTGACGGCCTCCATTGCACTTTGTGAGGGGTGTCATCCTAAGGTCTCCCTAAATTGGGAGAGCCTATGTCATAATTTGTGTTAGTGTGGGGGTTTGCGTTCGCGCAGCCCCTACTCAATTTTAATGTGGAGTTTTTTTTTGTTTTTAAAAAAAATCATTTTGGGTCATTTATGTAGAATTGGGATGGGTGTTTAAATTTCGATTTTAATTAAAAATTATGGCTTTTTGTCCCTTAAATTTCAAAGTTTTAAGATCTTTAATTGTAGATTTTAACATTCTTACCCAATTTCAGCCTAAAATTTGTTCGCTTTAAAGATTTGTGATTTTATTCAATCTTATTTAAATTAAAGTAAATTTGAATGCTATTGATTTCAGAATTTATCAAATTTTCTTTTTTAACTATGAACTGAATTATTGCTTTTGTTTAGTGTAAATAATAATAAGTATTCAAGAATTATTTAATGTAAATCATTTAAACAAAATCTAAATCACTTCTCCGAAAGGATCCAAGCCCCTCCGCTTGATAGTACGAAAAAGGAGTCTTCTGTTACACAAAAATATGTATATATATTATATTCCAGTAATTATTACTTGTCAACTTTTTTATCATTACTTTTTGTGCGAAAAAAATAGTGATGTTAAAAGGTTAAGAACAATCACAACTCCAATTCTCCAATTCTCCAACTTTGTTCAAGTTCTTCCTCAATGATATAAAATCGCTAATTTAAAGTACCAAGCAATACATAAGGGAAACTTGTTATATACACACAGAGAAGTTTAAGTCTGTTAAAATTTACACTTAAGCATAACTTCATATACACACAGAGAAGTTTAAGTCTGTTAAAATTTACACTTAAGCATAACTTCATGTCCAAATGCAAGGTAATCAACAATCCTGCATCTTTGTCAACGAGAAAATGGCAAAATGCATTAAATTTGTAGGCTTCAGCAATTGATAGAAGATTTGTAACTCCTGAAAGGAGGTAATGTCCTGGGACCATTACAAAACTCTTGTGGGACCGCACACCAAAACCTGATCTGTCATGGGAAAAAAGGTCAATTTGGACTTTGGAGTCGAGGGCTCAAATACTTGAAATCTTGAATAAAATTTTTTGACATGTTCATGGAAGAGCAATTCGATTTCTCTGCCCCTTTTAGAAAATCAGTAAATAATATTGTTTGCATCTCCACCTTCCAAATAGGAGGGATTAAGATTTTTTTTTTTTTTTTTGATAGAGGGATTGGGATTTGTGTGTGTGCGTGTGTGTTTTTTCCCCTATGAATGAGGCAAGCACAACCAACAATGAAGCACAAAAACAAACAGCACCAAGTGTCTCAACAGCAGGTACATTCTTGCAATATAATAGCCAATTCAGATGCTCTATGCACGTCATAAAAGTATCAGCTATTTCAGATCATATAAAACTAGTAAATTGAGCATGAATGTTCAGCACAATTAAATTTTGCCTGTTATACTATTTATTGAACTTCATCTAATTTAAAATAAATGGCTCAAGTTCAGAAAACAAGGAAAACATGTTCAGGGATGGCAAGACTTTGGCCACTAACATGTTCATGTCATGATATGAAGAGGGAAATTATTATTTTTTATTTATTATGAAAACTATGCCATGACCAATTTTATTAGCGTTTAGAAAGAAAAACACAAAGTCTCATACATTCATAGGCATGATCACCTACGACAAAATGTGATTAGATGGAATCATTGTGCAACAACGGAGATATTATAGGGGCTTAAGCAGGTGTCACGAAAGCATCAAACCCAAAATGGGGATAAAATCACAGTTGGTAAGTTTAGACACTGTATGCAGTAGGGCAACTGCCATCTACGGAGAGAGGGAGAGACAGAAATGTAAACTACCTGTTGCTTCAAAAAGCTGTTGAACCCGATTCAATCACATGGGCAAGCAAGTCTTTATACTGTTGAAACTGCAACAGTAATTTGCCCAATTACCAATTATTAGTACAATGAACAATTTCTAAAATATCAACAAATAAAGTACAATGAACAAGGAGATGTGACTAATGGTATTGATAATGGCACAGAGACAACCACCCTATTCTCCCACTTCCACACTAACTGCTTCAGCCAACTCCCCACTTTTCCTTCAGCCCTCACCTTCCATTCATTATACGTGATTAATGACTGTTGGGTTTTGTGGGATGTGGGACACATGGGACTCCTATCATTTCAATTTCCAATTTCATTTGTGAAGGGAATCATATATGCCTTTATAAGCTACTTCTGTCAAGCAGGTGACCAGTCCTCGCAGGTTTTTGAAGGTAACAACAACAAATATGGGTATGTACCTCTTTGGCTAACTCTTCATGTTTGCTAGCTAACATGTCTAGTTTAGCTGTTCCAGATTCTTTGACTGATTTGATTGTGATATTTGTGGCATCCACCTATTAATAGTAGATAAATAACATGTTAACTCATGATTTCATCAATTTCATCTGATCCATAAAGAAACTTTAGAGATGGTGGTAGTCATGGTACCTCTGCCAACACCGCTTCAACATTTTTCTGTCTTTCTTCCAGATCATGTCTCTTGGATTCAACCTCCAATTTCACACCATTTAGGTATGTAGTTGCTTCCTCAGACTTTATATCCCTTTCTTTCTCTAACTGTTTCATCAATTCTCCCAGCTGCTCAACTAAGAAAAGATAACAAAGGGAAAAGAAAAGGGGGAAATTAAAAGCATTACACAACAAACATCTATGCTCAAATATGATAGAAAATAGAGATACCGCATAGCTTAAACAAGAACCTACCCTTTCCTTTTCTTTCAACCAATTTGACATCAAGTGACTTTTCCAGCACTTCTTCATCACTGAGTTTAGCTTTCAAAGCTTTAAGATTTTTCTCAATTTCTTTTGCAGAATTTACCTGTAAGAGTTGCTCGTGTCATCAAACAAGATGTTTGGTGTTAAGTTAAAAGGACAGAAAAGATTACATCCACAATTTAACTCATATCTTGAGGAGAGCCACTCTTTTTGGAGCTTAATTCAAATCAAAACCAACAAAAATAAAAGATTTCATTCTCCCTGATTTTCATGCAGAATTCATAGAAACTGTAAGTCAAAATGTTAGAGTGAACACCTGATCTTGTATGGCTTGCATCTGAGCGAAGTGCTTTGACATTTTCTTGTAAACCTGAGAAAAAAATAATAAGGAATATATTAAATCTGGCATGGGCTGCATGCGTTCCTATATTTATCAGCAAAAATTATTTCATGAGATTTTAAAAAATGCCTAAACTTCTCATGGGGATACGTGCTGAAATTATAAAACCAATTAAAACCAAATAAAGAAATGAACAATATCCACATTAAAGATAAGCAAAACTTGACGCTGAATTTTTTATTCAAGATTAACATTCAAGAATTAAGAAAACTACTTTTTTTTACTTGGACAAACTATAGACCACATAATATAACAGGCAAAAAGAAGGAGCATGCATAAGAAATTGATTAATGTACCATGGACTGAAATGAAAATGAGGAGAAATATAACAGCCTTAGTCTGTTTTAAAATACCTTTGAATAAAGGTCAACAAGGGCATTCTTCTCATGGAAAGTTTGCATTGCTGATCTTTCAGCATTCTTAGCTTCTTCTCGAGCTAGTTTTTGTTCCTCTAATGCTCTCTATGTGAAATTGTGCAAGAGAATTTCCATGAGTCAAAGATGGAAAACAGGTCTTAGGTATTAAAAAAAAAAAAACCAAACAACTTCAACAAGCATCTATTAGTTCAACTTCACAGCAGTTAAAAAACCATAACACAGGCTGTCATTGGAGCAAAGCATCTTGATGCATGTTTTCCTTAGATGTCTTTCTTTCTATCAACTATTTAACTAACATCACTTCGTTTATGTTACATTATTCTCCGGCTTTAATGCCTTTATTTGTTTGATTGTTTCCTTATTTTCCTGGTTGGATCAACATTTTATTCCCTTCTTTATGTTATTGTAAGCAGACCTTGATTAGGTTTTTCGGTATGCTTAATTTTTCATTTTTTTTTCCTTTTCCTGGAGGGCCCAAAGCTCTCAGCCCCTCTCTTAATAATACCCTTGTTCAGATTTGAATCATGAGAGAATCAGAGCACTAATATCTGAACCCTCGCATGATATCACAGCCTCATAGGCCTGATCCACTTTTATGCCAAATTATAGCCACAAAAAGCCTAGAACAAAGAGAAGTTTGTTGTATAATGAGATGGCTTCTCAGACAATCAAGGGATTGCCAACAACATATCAACAAATATCATTGGTGCCAAACCAAACAAATATAGCTAGTTTCAACAGAGCCAATCAGTTGTCATGTTCATCTGCAAGATAGGGAAGGAAGGCTGCCTAAATGGAGAAGCTTCCCAGAAATGACTCAAAGTACAAAGTTTTGAAAGCCAAGAACAATCAAGTGATGCCTTAGATTATCAGATCAATGAAGACTAACATTGGAAAGAAGGTTGATAATGCTATCCAAGTTGTCCCCAAGTCAAAAGTTCAGAAAATCACATTTAACATACACATCCTATATTCAAGGTGTTTTTCACTTGTTGCCTGTGAAAAAAGTGAAATAGCGTAACACTACATATGATCTAGTTCAAAGGTGCAGTTTACTTTAATGCAGCTGGCACCCAGCAAACTGCATAAAAGAGTCTGTAGTCTGTACAAATTCTTTCTTTTCATACTTCTGACAGTTGACAACTAATTAAGCGCTTATAACAATTTTAGCTTCAAAACAACCCCCAAAAAAAAAATCTTGCATTAAGTAAATTACGAGTTAGCATCAAAGGAAATGGGCAATAGTACTAAAACTAGAAACTTCCTCCAAATTAGAATTAGAATTAGAATTAGATCTTGGTGTGGTAAGTGGTACCAACAAAAATGAAAACAGTCTAGTGATTACGATAAAGAAAAATTCAGACAAGCATATCATGGCAGAAAGGTAAATTACACCACATTGTAATTGCTAAATGAGAAACAAAAAAAACTAATTGTTTCAACCATGCCCACAAAAAAGTACCAGTCACAGAATATTAACACCAATAAACTTGATGGACAAACATTTTTAAATGATGCTCATTGAAAA